ATGCAGGCAAGGGAAGGGAGGGAGGGACGGCGGGAGGGATGGACGGATATGTAAGAATGTTGGATGGATGTATAGATGGATGGATGGATGGGTTCAAACCCTCGTCGTGCTCAGCGCGACGATCCTGCAAGAACAATCGGCCCACTTCTAGCCGCAGGGGCTCTCCCAGAGATCTCTTTCTCCTCGAGCGAGGCCCTCTTCCTCCTCCCTCCTCCGCCCACCCCGCCTCCGACGACGGCGACCTCGCCAGGCGCCAGCGCGCCACAGAGCACCGCGCCGCTGGCCACGCCAGCCGCCGGCACGGACGCCCCTGGCGGGGCCGCCGCCGCCGCCGCCGCCGCCACCGGTCCCACCGCCAACCCGGCGCGAGCGTTGCGGCAGCTCTGCGAGGCGTGATCGTCGCTGTCGTCGCTGCCGCCGTCGCCGCCGCCGTCGTTTTGAGGTTCGAAGCCCGAGGCTGGGTTTTGGTGGCTTTTTTTTCTGGGCCTCGTGAGGCCTCTAAATATCTCGGGGCACCTAGGATACCTTCGGAGGAACCTCTCAGGACCTCTGGAGACCTTCAGCAGGTTCGTCTTCTCCGTCGTGACGTCTTCGTCGTCGTGCCCGTCGTCGTCGTCGTCGTCGCCGCTGTCGTCGCCGCCGCCGTCGCCGTCGCCATCGCCGTTGCCGTCGCCGTCGTTGGCGCGGCGCGAGTCTCGCGGCCTTCTCTCCCCGCGTGTCCCTCGACTCAGGGCCCTGTCCTTGCCTGGGCGGTGATGTCCTCGATATGAGCATCCTTACCTCATTTTTTCAATTTTAGGCACTCGTTGTTTCCTCCATGCGCTATATGAAGGGCTTCGCCAGACGAGGATATGAGAGGGGAGCCTCCCGAGCCGCACGCACATGCACCCATTCCGAAAGGGGCGGGGGGGCAACACAAGCGGCAGGGGGAGCTCATGGCGGTGGAGTCGTGCAGAGGTCGGTGCCAGCCCCTCCCCTCTGCCTCCAGCCCTCCCCCCTCCCTGCTGTGCCGGCGCGCCGTCGCTGCGGCGGCCCCAGCATTTTCTAGCGGCCAAGGGGGGGCGTGGAAGAGGGGAGGAAGGAGCGCTGGGCCTCTCATGACTAGGCGGTGCCATGGCGGCGGGCCTCGCATAATGTGAAGGTGGACAACGTTGTAGTCTTGCTCGCCATCGGTGTCGATTCAAAAGTGGACGCGCCGCTGGAACCAGACAGTGGCCGCAGATGCACGACGAACAGGGGTCGGCGTGTCCCGCGGACCAGGCGTCGGTGCGATCTCCAGGCGCGTGTCTGCGTCGGAGGTGTCAGAGGTGTCTTCCTCGAAGCCCTCGCTGAGCGGCTCGTCGGTGCACGGAGCGACACGGTTCCCCGTGAGCTGGAAGCTGCGTGGGTGATAATTCCGCGAGGAGTGTCGGCGGCATCAGGTCGACCAGCTTGGGGGGCAGCACACAGGCTGCATTCGTTGGCTGCTGCGGGCGCGGATGCCGCCCCGGACACGGGGCGATTCATGCGGGCCCCCGCATGGCAGCTGTCCTTCCAGGCGCCCCCCTCTGGAACGGGCTGGGCGCGGGCGCCCCGGTTTCGAGGCGCAGCGGCTCCCCCCACTCCCTCTATCCCCCTTCTCCCCGTCCTCCTCCCCCCTTCCTGTTCTTCCTCCCTTCCTCCTCCTTCTGTTGCTGCTCCTCCTTCTCCTCCTCCTCCTCCTCCTATTCCCTCCTTCCTTCTCTCCCTCTCTCCCTCCCTCCCGCGCTCCCTCCGTCCCTCCCTCCCTCCATCCCTCCCTCCTTTCTCCTCCTCCTCCTCCTCCTCCTGACTCGCAGCCCCACGCTTGGCTCCTCCTCCTCCTCCTCCTTTTTCTCCTTATCTCCATCCTCGTCGTCCTCCTCCTCCTCCTCGTCCTCCTCCTCCTCGTCCTCCTCCTCCTCCTCCTGCTCTTCCTCCTCCTTCCCTTCCCCCCCCCTCCTGCCCCCCCTCTTCCCCACTCTCCTCCTCCTCCCTCTACTTCTCCAGCACGTACCGACGGCCTAAAATCTTGCAGAGACGAGGGCTGAACACGGAGAGAGGGAGCACGACCCTTCAGGGGGGGACCTTCCTTGGGTGGCCCCTCTTCGCTCGCCAGCAAGTGCTGCACTGCCAATGAGTTCCTGCCCAGTGCCTCTTGTGCGGAGTGGCGCTTTGACACTGCTTCGCTGCAGGATTTCCACTTTTGCGCTCCGCGCCTGGCTCCACTGCGAGCTTCGGCCGCAGGGAAAGAAGGTCAGCACCCAGGCGTCCCTCGGCCCTTGCGACAGTCCTGCTCCCCCTCCTGCTTCCCCTCCCCCCCATCCTGCCCTTCCTCTTCCCCGCGCCCCCTCTCTCCCGCAGCCTGGCAGCACGGCACACTCGAGAGCCGCCTCTCCCCGGAAGGGCCTCGGCTACGGCGCCGGTCGAGCAGCGCCAGCGCCGGCCGAGCCACCGCAGGCGGGCCGCCCGCCTGGCAGATCGGGCCGGACGAAAGGGGGGGATAGGGAAAGGGGGGGTTACGAAATCTGCCGCAGGCAGCTGGTTTCGGCCCCGCCGCCGGGCCCATTCCTCGATGCATGGGCGCTTCCCGGCGCCGGGAGGCGCTGGGAAGATCAGCTACGTGAGCTGAGTCTCAAACCCCCTCTTTGCTATCCCCCCTTTCGCCCGGCCCGAGGATAGCTCGCCGCGGGCGGTGTCAGGGAGCTCTCCCCCCTCTCCCCCCCTCTCCTTGCCCATCTCTCCCGCCCTCTCCTTCCCCATCTCTCCCCCCCCCTCCTTGCCCATCTCTCCCCCCTCTCTCCCTCCCGCCGCTCCCATCCACTTCACGCGGCAGGGGGCGCCGGAGGGTTGCGCACTGCCGGGGGGCAGTGGCCCTGGGGGGAGGAGGGAGGCCCGTTCCCTGTGGGGGCCGCGGAGGTTTCGCCGCGTCGCCGCCCGTGGCCGCCTCGTTGCCGCCCATTTGGGGGGTCCGTCGAGGTTTCGCACCCGTCCTGGCCCCCCAGGGCCAATGATCAGGAGGGAAAGAAACACGCAGACACAATTAATCGTCGATTCCCCAGAAAATATTGGAAAATATGGGAAGTGGGGGGGAAGACCAAACCCCAGAAAATATGGGAAACTGTGGGGAATCCTTTTATTTGTGTGCATTTATTTGTGTGTCCTTGGGCCTCTTCAAATGAGGGCGCCAAAGCTGATCAAGCCGATGACGTTGATCGTGTCCGCACGTCGATGGTGAAAGTTTGGGAAAGGTGTCGACGTGCGCGCGCGGCCGACGGGCGCGATGGGGCCCGCATGGTATTATTTGCCGGGGATCGTGTCTCTCCGCCCCCAGCATGCGCGCAAGGGCGTCCGAATGATTTCGACATGCGCGTGCGAGAGCCCCGCCTGGTCGAATTCGATGAAAATGGTGAAACACCTTATGATGTTCGTGAGAATTCGCAAGACCCGCGCGCACACTTCTTTTAGGAGCCACGTTGCAAAACTACTGCGTTTCAAAACGAAACGGCCGATGCTGTTGAAGAGTTCCGGCGTGCGCGCGCGACCCTACGCGCGTGGGTCCTACATGTTGCAAGGGATTGTTGAAAATAGCTGGTTCTTTGAATCACGAATGTGCGCGCAGTGTTTGCGGGGTCGACAAGGGGCGTAGAGCTGGGAAGATACGAGTTCATTCTTAAGAAAGACGATTGGGCATAATCATATATAATTTGCATTAACACAATGGTATCCGCGAAACCCAGGGGGACATCCCAATTTCTGAGAGAGCGTGATCCACTGCCGCTTTGCTGTGGAAAATTTCCCCCCCCTCTTCCTCCAGAACCCGTCCCCTCCCTCCGAAAATCCCCCCTGCTCGAACCCCCCCTTTCCCCCCTCGGCAAGAACCCCTCCCCACCCCTTCCCCCCCAGGGCAAACCAGGGGGGGGTCACCACCGGTTCGGACCCCCCCCCTCCCGAAAAACCGAGGGGTGGCACTATTGGTTCGAACGCCCCCTCCCCACCCTCCACCCGCCGACGGCAAACGACTCCCGGGTTCCCACCACCGTCTTCACCACCGCCCTCACCGCTGTCCTTACCACAACCGTCCCAACCACTGTCCCACTGTCCCCAGTGTTCCCATTCCCGCCACTGTCCCACTGTCCCCACTGTTCCCAGCACTGTCCCCACTGTCCCCACCACTGTCCAACTGTCCACACTGTCCCCGCCGCTGTCCCGCTGTGCTTCCCACCACTGTCCCACTGTCCCCACTGTCCCCACAAGTGTCGTTTCTGTACCACTGTCCCATTGTCCCACCACCGTCCTCACCACCGCCTGCACCAGTGTCCCTACCACCACCGTCCTCACCACTGTCCCCACTGTCCCCACCACTGTCCACTGTCCCATCACCACTTTCCCCTCCACCATCGTGCCCACCACTGTCCCACTGTCCCCACCGTCCCCACCACTGTCCCACTGTCCCCACTGTTCCCACCACTGTCCCCAGTATCCTCCGCAGTGGTCCCACCACTGTCGCACTGTCCACACCGTCACCACCACTGTCTCCACCACTGTCCCACTCTCCCCACTGTCCCCAGTGTCCCCACCACTGTCTTACTGTCCCCATTGCCGCCACCACTGTCCCACCGTCCCCTCTGTCCCCACCGCTGTCCCACTGTGCTGTCCCGCTGTCCCCACTGTCCCCACCACTGCCCCACTGTCCCCACTGTCCCCATCACTATCCCCACTGTGCACACCAGTGCCCTCAGTGCCACGGCCGCACTGTCCCCACTGTCCCCACCACGGTCCCCACCACGGTCCCACTCTCCTCGCTGTCCCCCCTGTCCCCACCACCCGACCACCGTCCGATCGTCCCACCGTCCCCACTCCCCACTACCATCCCCACCAAAGTCCCGACCGCCGTCCCCATCACAGTCCCCCCCCACCGGAGTGGGGGAGGAGGGGAAGTCGCTTGCCAGCGGCGAAGAGGAGAGGGGGGCTCGCACAGGCAGGGACCCCCCCCCTTTTTTCATGATGGAGACTGGGGGGAGGGGTGCCGGTTTTTGGAACCCCCAATGCCCCCCCGTCCCCCCCCGCGGGGGGGGGGACGGGGTTGAAACCCCCAGTGACCTCCCCCCCCTCGGTTTTCTGCCCGCAGCGGCAGAGCACGCTGCTTCCCATTTCTGGAGGAGCGCGATCCACCGTCGCCGGCCGGAACAGTATTATACGAAGGGGCGTCAGCAACGGGGGGACCCCCCCTGGGCCCTCCCCCTCCCCCCTAAGAAAATCCGAAAGAGGGGGTCAGAAACCAGCCTCCCCCGAACCGCCCCCCGCCTGCAAAGAACCAGGGGCGCCTCCATCCCCCCCCCAGGACAAATTGTCCGGGAGGGCCCAGAGCCCCCCTCCGCAGCATCGACGACGACGACGACGACGACGACGACGACGACGACGACGACGACGACGACGGCGACGACGGCGACGACGACGACGACGACGACGACGACGACGACGACGACGACGACGACGACGACGACGACGGCGACGACGGCGACGACGACGACGACGACGACGACGACGACGACGACGACGACGACGACGACGACGACAGCGACGACGACGACGACGCCCACGACGACGCCGACGGCAGCGACAGCGTCGGCGGCGGCGACGGCGCAGCTGTCGCCGGCGCCCGCGCCAGGCGCCGGCTTTGATAGAGTGCTACCAGGCATTGCACTCTACAGTACACATAGAATTTCAGGCGGGGAAAAACACACAGACACAATGAATCGTCGATTCCCCAGAAAATAATGGAAAATAATGGAAGTGGGGGGAAGACAAAAACTCAGAAAATATAGGAAATATGGAGAATCCTGTTATTTGTGTGTATTTATTTGTGTGTCCCAGGGCCCCTTCACAATACTCTGCTCATCGTCGTCGTCGTCGTCGTCGCCGCCTTCGTCGTCTTCGCCGTCGTCGCTGTCGTCAACGTCGTCGTCGTCGTCGTCGTCGTCGTCGTCGTCGTCGGTCGTTCGTCGTCGGCGGACGGCGTCTGATGTCATCGTCTCGGCGTCGTCGTCGGCGTCGGGCTGTCGGCGTGGGCGTGGTCGGGCGTCTTCGGCCGTCGTGTCGTCACGTCGTCGTCGTCCGTCGTCGTCGACGTCGTCTGTCGTCGTCTTCCTAGTCGTCTGTCGTCCTTCGCCCCGTCGTCGCTGTCGTGTTACGTATTCGTCGTCTACTTCGTCTCGTCGTCGTTGTCGTCGGCGTCTTTCGTATTGCGAAGGCCTTACGGCCGGTGCCGCCGACCCTGGAGGGCGACCCATGCGTTCTCGTATGTGGCGGGGGGGGCCTCTTGGGGTCTCCTGGGGGCCTCTTGGGGGTCTCGTGGTGGCCTCTTGGGGGCATCTTGGGGCTTCCTGGGAGCCTCTGTCGCCGAGGGCTCGTCGGGCCCCCCGTCTGGGCACCCTGTTGGAGCCGTTTGCGGGGGGGGCGTCGTATCTGAGTGGCGCCCCCCCCCCGGGACCCCCCCGCTACCCCCCCCCCCTCCCGGCGGGGGAGGGATCAAAGGGAAGGGGCTTCCCTTCGACTCAAATACGACGTTGCTGAAGTTCATTTGGGCTGGCGCGCTTGAGCAGGGGCCCCTGCTGGGAAAGAGGTCGGGAGTGGCGACGGGCCCACGGAAAGGGAGGCGCAAGGAAGGGGGACGACAGAGACGACGACCAACGAACAACGGGGATGACGTCTCGAACGGAAAAGCCCGTCACACACGCCGACAGGGTCGGCGGATTCGACGTCGGCGTGGTCACCGGCGTGGTCGGCGTCGTCGTTGTCGTAGTCGTCCGTCGTCGTCGTCGTCCGTCGTCGTCGTCGTCGTCGTCGTCGTCGTCGTCGTCGTCGTCGTCGTCGTCGTCGTTGTCGTCGTCGTCGTCGTCGTCGTCGTTCGTCGTCGTCGTCGTCGTCGTCGTTGCGGGGGGGAAGGGGAGGTGGGGAAAGGAGGGATCTCTGGACCCCCCGAAGAAGTTTCCCCGGTGGGAAATGGGAAGAGAAGGAGGTTGAACCCCGCTCTCTGCGAGCAGCAGCAGAAAGCGCTTTTTCTAAGGAGCGCGATCCAGCCTGAAACAACTTAATCAGGGGAGGGCCAGATACCAGGAACCCCTCCTCCGCCCCTACAAAAATCCAGGGGGGGTCACAAACCAGGGGACACACCCCTGACTTCCCCCCCGCACCCTCCCCCGCAAAGAACTGGAGTGGTCCAGACCTGCCCTTCGAGAAAATTCAAAAGCATTGGTTTAAAAATCATGTTGCGAAACCGTTGGTTTTTCCCAACCATCCTGTGGTGTTGGGTCCCCGTTTTGAAGAGACAGCGGCCCGCGTTCGCTCCTCCCGCTGCCCCGTCCTCCTCCTCCTCACTCTCCTCATACGCCTCCTCCTATCTCCCTCCTCCTCCTCCTCTTCATCATCATTCATCATCATTCATCATCATCATCCAT